GTGGCGCTATGTGAAAAATGTTTTAACAGCAAACATTGATTTTGCCTCCGCATATTAACCAATGGAACTGCCGTTAAATCCATGAACACCTTCGGACCTATAAATAGCAGTTTAAGCGAATGACTATAAGTGGGTGGAAGGAAATATACAAACTTTTACCTCAATGAAAACCTCGGCTGTTTTTGATGTACCCTGATGATTGACCGACGAGGTAGAAAATCCATTCTAAACCGCTAAGCCCAAGTTACACAGACTTTAATAACACCTTTACGTGAACTACAGGCATTCAATTACATGCTGGCATACAACTAACGGGGTAGCCAACCAAATAATTGACTGATTTCATTTTCAAGCTATGACATATACACAACTGAATTAATGAGGCACGCGCAGACTGGTAATATTTAAAAAGGAAAACTTCTTTTAATTAATGCATAATAGTACAATACTGAATATTTTATTATGTTCTCATATTTTTGATGTATTTTGATCATTATCTAAAGCAATATCCTTATTCGATTCCGATTAACATATTTTACAAATAATATCAATAATTTTGATTTTTAATTACAGAAATAGGTTACAGAAATTCCAAAATATTTTATGTGGGAAGTATTTAAATTTAATAATAATAGTGTCCTCCAGACCGAACTACGGTCACGGCGGCTAGTCTCAACGAAGACTAGCCATCTGCACAGGACAGGATTATAGTGCCGAAGTGTATGCGCAAGCACAGGTGCACTCTCTCTCTCTATTCCCTCACTCCCACAGTCCGATGGGGCGGTAATTCGACACGACTGGAGAGAGATCAAGCGTTCTGTCAAGATCTCTCCTCCACCGCCTTTACATGCTTTCCGAGGCACAGGGATGAAACACCGCCAACTGCCTTACTCCGGACTGCTAGTGAGAATTTCTTGACAGCAAAACCTGATAACTAATTTTGGCCCGACCCGGGATCCGAACCCGGGACCTAGTGATCAGCAATCGCGTTCACTAGACAAAAGAGCCACTTAACATTTATGAAACACTTAAAGTGTTAACTTGTCACGTTTTCTAAGAAAGAAAAACTTGCATGGCTGAAATATTATAAAATATTTTAACGCATAATCCGACAATTTACATTGGGCTAGCGCAACCAACTCTCCTCTGCTCCAAGCATCTTAACTAGATAAAGAAACTCGGCCCCCACCGTAACCCTATGAGTATTGGCAGCGTAAGTGATTTTACCACGCCAATACTCATCGGTCAGTAAGTACATCGCATTTAAAGCAAAGTTATGGCCATTATACGTCCCACTGCAGGGCACAGGGCTCCTTCTCATTATGGAGAAGATTATAGGGCGCCGCAAGTAAATACGGTGATAAGCCTAATATATGAAAATAATTGACATATTTAACACCGATTTGTTGAGATTTATTAAATGGCGATACGGATCATTTATAACCTAAAACTAAAAAAGTTTAAACAAATAAAAACTTATATTAACTTTAACCTCTCAGCATATTTACGGAAATTTAATGTATGCCTACAAAAACAAAACTAGATTTAATAAAAACGTAATATACATAATGTAAACATTGCGACAAGCTTGTGATACCAGTTAGTCCGCTTTTATACAGTTTCAGAAAATATGCAGGGTAAATCCACGGCAAAGAGTAAAAAAGGCGAAAATTTTTTTGTGGGTGTTTTACATTTTTTTCATAGTTAAACTGTTGTCAGAGGGTAGTAGTAAACTATTATGAAGTTTGTTCCCATATTTGTTATGTGTATCCTTGACAAATTAAGCGTCATTCATTACTCTCAGCAGTTTTGTGAAAGTAAGGTGAAAAAGCTATTAAAATATCATAAATTAACTAAAGTTTAAGTATAACAATTGGTAAGTACACCTACATTTTTTATAATACGTTGGATAATGTGTGTAAAACAAAAAACTTATTCTTATTTGAATAAACTTATCCAAAGATATTCCCATTTGAAAATCCGTTTGCTATTTGAAACGCAAGTTAACATTATATCAAATATTATAAATTTATCATTATCAACATTTAGGGAAATAACTGTTATGTTTCTCTTAAATGTAGTTAAGGCGCATACAATTATCTAATTTGTTTGCTTTTACAGGATAGAGTTTTATTTTTATTCGCTTAACAAGCTTGTAACGAAAGTTACCGGTAACTTGCGTTACATGAGTTTAATGACAGTTACATTTACAATATCATTTTAATTGCAGTTGCTATGCCACCCAGTGCTGCAGAAAAGATGAGAAGAAGAAGAGAGAAGATGAAGGAGGCCAGTAAATATGATGAATACAAATAAAAAATAAAACAAGCTTGTCGTAAAACTAGACAGAAGAAAAAAGAAGAAATTGAGCGCCTACCTTTATCGAAAAAAGCAAAAGTTATTATCGAAAATCGAAGAAAAAGCAAGGAAAGAGTAAGAAAGCATCGACTTCAGAAAAAACAGAACGAACAAACAAACACAATTGTAAATGAAACTTCTATCCATGTGACACCACAATCCATTAGTAAAGCTGTAGTTCGTGCTCGTAACGCATTGCCTGCTTGTCCCATAAAAAAGCAATTGATGGTTGGAAGACTTTTGGATCAATGCCCGAAGGAAAGCCCTCCTACTATGCACGGTGCATCTGGATTAGACAAGAAAGTCATTCTTGAAATACAAACATTTTATCAGCACGATGATATAAGCCGCCAAGCACCTGGTTTAAAAGATTATGTCACAGTTCGCAATGAAAGAGGAGAGAAGGAAAAAATGCAGATCCGGCATTTATTTTCATCAATGACTGAAATTCATTCACTATTTGTTCAAGAGTTTGGGAATATTGTGGGACGAAGCAAGTTTGCTGAGCTCCGGCCAAAGCATGTTTACCTGTCGAGAAAATTGCCACATAATGTTTGCTTATGCAAATACCACGAAAATTTCTCGCTGGCTGTGAAAGCATTACATGAACTGATAGGAAGCCCACGTTAGGATCACAATTTTCTCAGTGGCTTTATTTGCACAGCTCCAACAACAGCATGTTGGTTGAAAGACTGTAACCTCTGCAAGGACTTGTTAGAAAACAAACTGGACGAATATTTGGACAGTTGCGAAAATGTGGGCGCTGACGTCGAGACTAACTGGTTTGTGTGGGCAGATTGCAATGGCAAACTAAGTAAAATTCAGGTAAAAGGCACAGTAACTGAATTGATCCAGAAGATAGTCGACATGGCTCCTAAGTTCTTTAAGCATACCTACATCAAACGCAATCAAGCCTCCTCCTACCAAAAACACAAGATTGAATTCTCCAACAGAACTGATTCGGACACGGTCCTGATTCAGGTGGACTATTCTGAAAATTACACATACCTGGCCCATGACGAAGTGCAAAGTTTTCACTGGGTGCAACCTCAAGTAACTTTATTTACAGTGTCGCTGTGGATGTCAGGTTAACAACATCCGATTGTACTGGTTTCTAATGATCGTCGTCACGATAAAAAGACAGCTATTGTTTACATCGACCGAGTACTGGAAGATTTACCAACAAACGTCAAAAAAGTGCACTTGTGGTCGGATGGCCCAGCTTCTCAATTTAAAAACAAATACGTCGCCGAATGTATTAAAAATCTCGAAGAAAAGCATAGCCTGCACATGATGTGGAACTACTTTGCTACATCGCATTGTAAAGGCCCGGTTGATGGAATTGGAATAAGGAGCAAAGTCTTAAAAAGAAAAGCAATTGTGTTAAATGCCGAGCAGTTTGCAATAGCAGCAAAAGATTCAACTGTGAAAGTGATCGTGGTTTCAACAGAGGAAATTGAAGAACGAGCACGACTTCTACAATTGGAAGAAAGTGTTGCAAAGGCTCCTGGCGTTCCTGGAATAGCTAAGTGTCACATCATGTTCTGGAAAAATAATATGCTCCAAAAAAGTCTAATATCAAAAGATTTTTATGAGAAAATCGAAGAAAATGTTGGGGCTAACGATTCATGGAATGACGATGATAACCTTCCCTTATTCGAATGGAAAAATAAGCATTCATAAAGTTCAAGTTGCAAGTAACGCAAGTTACTATTTTCGTGTAACGCAAGTTACCGTTGTTTTCTATTTTTTTTTATTATCTGTAACTCCTGACTTAATCGACTTTAATTTTTTTTTTAATTTTAAGTTAAAAAACTCAGAGAAATATTCGATCAAACTCAAGTCTCAAAACGTCATGTCCTTTTTATATAACGCAAGTTACCAGAATGTCGTAGAGTGCTGGTTCGAAGCTATGCTGTAGTTTCCAGTAATTTTCAATTAAATAGAATGAGGTCACAATGTAGTCTCTAAAGTACAGACAAAGTAAATTAGATAACTTTTAACAATGACATAAAAGAGGTTTGTTTGCCGATCTACAGTTCCAAATGTAACGCAAGTTACCGTGGATTTACCCTGCAGTCTCTCTATTACCGAGCTTAAATATTTTATTAAACGAAAACTGTATAAAAAGAGTTGTAATAATTTAAATATCTATTTATTTATTAGGTTGATAATAACCCGTGGGAATGAGTTTTTACCATTAATATATACTAGCTGTTCCCCGCGACTTCGCTCGCTTGTTAGAGTTTTTATGTTTTTCGCGGAACCCTAATTCTTTTTCAAAAATAAAAATAAGCTAAGTTACTCCCTGTGAAATCAGCTATCTGCCAGTGAAAGTCCCGTCAAAATCGGTCCAGCCGTTTTGAAGGTTACCCGGAACAAACAGACAGACAGACAGACAAAAATTTTAAAAACTGTATTTTAGTCATAGGTACTGTATTTACTTTCATATGCATTTAGTAAAAAACTGTAATTTTGACATTACAGACAGACACTTCAATTTTATTTATTTGTATAGATAACTAGCTATTGCCTGTGACTTCGTCCGCGTGAAGTTCGGCTATATCGCGCCCATGTGTGAAAAAGAGTCTGCCGGTACAAGCCACAATTATAACTAGATGTCGAGGGCAAAAGCTAGTAAACTACAAAACTTCTTTATACACCACATTTTTTGCTAATCTACCACTGCGTGCCAAAATTATCAGACTACTGGGCGAGCTTACACGTGAGCAAGTCACATAGAATTGGCCGTGTGAAAAACAATTTTCTCTTAAGTCTACACCCGCAATTTTTAATGTCTGCCCTTGTGATTTGTTGATGGTAATTGTAAAACAGACCTTGAGGGGAAACTCTATTCGTTTGAATTCAAAGGGAAGATTATTCGGGATGAAGGGAATTCTTGGTACAAATACAGTTTCTCCTTGCTCAAATCCAGTTATAATTGGGGCTTCCACTACATTGCGATGTAACGCTTTTACATTTAGGCTGGTTCCGTTGCACAGTTGAGGAGGTTTTAAATTTCGCAACAACATAACAGAAGTGCCCACGCGCGGAATAAGGTTATAATGTGGAAGACCCGATGGTTTCAGTGAATTAAGAAATTCGACAGGGTGGTTAATTGCGTCATCTGTGTTAACCACAAAGTCTATTGACGTGTACACCATTTCTTCCCCCTCCAAAGACGGTAACAGTATATCGTTAATTGCCGCTGCCTGGTCGTTTTTGGGGGTTAGTATGGCACGTTCACACAACCATTCCATTGGCTTATCGTGAATATGAGCAATATCTGGGTAAATTTTGGATATTAACTCCTGTAACGTAAATACAACTGTGCACAGATTATCAGGGATGGTTATCATTCCGTCATTTATCTGGTAATAGCCGTTGCCGATTTCAAGTAGCAGATTCCCAAATCAACCAGCAGACTCTTTTTCTCCTAAGTGTACCTGCATATTTTTCGAGAGCTTGATGATTTTAATTAAAGGCCATAAAGTGGATCTCTTTAAGACACGCCTTAACTTCATCTGCTCTAGTTCCTTTTGGCACTATTGGTAGAGTCAGTCTAAAATCTCCAGCCAGCAAAACCGTTACACCACACATTAACTTCTTATTTCCTCTTATATCTTGTAGAGTTCTATTTAAAGCCTCTACGCCACCCTTATGAGCCATGGTTATTTCATCCCACACTATCATTTTCGTATGCTTTAATACTTCAGCAAAATTACTTTGTTTTGATATATTACAAATGGGAGTATCAGATGTTGTTAAATTGAGTGGTAATTTGAAGGTAGCGTGAGCAGTTTGTCCACCCTTAAGCAGTGTAGCTGCGATCCCAGAAGAAGCCACAGCCAAAGCAATTCCGCGAGTACTTCTAACTTTTGCTAGTAGCAAATTAGAATATTAAAAACCTCATTTAATTCAATTTTTATGTTAATTTGATTGTAAACTGCTTTTTGTTCGTCACTCAGTGATCCTTCATTATTTTTAACTGTGTTTTCCAATGATGGTAAGTCGTAACTTGTCTCTTTAAGAAACTCTCTATTTTCAAATTGCTGTTCTTTGCTTGGCTGAGATAACCCATACTCTTTTAGTAGCCGACCACCCAACGCTAATACGACATCTTCTATTACCGAAAGGCATTTGTTAAATACCACATCTGTTTTGTGCTCTACATCCACATCTTCCTGACTTTTTAATTGCCTTTTAAAATCTTCAGATAGGTTTTCTTTGAATTTCTCCCAAAGGCTTAAAGGGCCTGATATTAAGCAGAACACTAAAATAATCGTAAAAAGATCCCGAATCATTTGCAGTGATTGGCAAAGTGCTGCATCTTTCATTGCTGCGAACAAATGCTGATCATCTTCAAGCAAGCTGAGAGCTTTGCACGCTGATTGGAACGTGGTATATACATGACCATCTACATTTTTAACGCTTCTAACGAAATTGGGCCCCGCATCTCATGAAGAAGCATGCGAAGGTGATAGCATTCTGTATTGTTCGGATGCACAGTATAAACCCTGCCCAGAACGTGCTCTTTTTTGACCCCTGGCTTCAACGTTTGCTCCTCTCTTTCTCCTTTGGAACTTTCTTTTATCCCAAACGTAGTATGCATGTAACTTCTAGGTAGAGCAATGATTTTGCAAAGTTATCCACTTTACACAAATCGAAAAAGGATAGGAGTGTAGTTGTTGGAGAACTATTCACATGTATTTTCAAAGTGGACACCGCTAGTTCGCATTGAGTAGCCCCTTAAACGGTGGTTGTATGAAAGACAAAATGAAGCAACTAATCCGGAAACACGAAGCAAATCTTACACCGTAAGCAAGCAAACAAAGTCGAAAACTAGTCAAATATCCTGTAACAATGTATAGGTACCGTATGTGGTGCAGATTAAAGTGCTCTTTTTTTTGCGCCCGAAGCAATTGGAAAATGGGCTACCCTTTACGTAGGGAGGCGGAAAATGCATTACGCATACCACGATAGGCTATCCATCGTGGCTATGGGGGACTCACGTCTAACCGGGGAGCCTAAGTGATACCCCCTAAAAATCGCCTTTGGGGACTGGCAACCAGCTGTTTAAAGGTTCTTATGGCCGTATCGAAAGCGACCCTCTTTTGGGAAAAGAGGGCGCAGGCGGCTATAAGCCGCTGAGGGAGTGCCTACGAAGGCAATTTAATTATGAATAAAAATTAATTATGAAAATTAATTATGAATTTGACTGAGCCGCCAGGAGGCAGTTCAAGTCGTTGGAAAGTTTGTTTGGCGGATCCGAGAGGGAGTTCCTCGGCCTACGGACGCGATAGCGGGATGGGAGTGGGGCTGCATAACTAGCTGCCTCACGAATAAGTGTGTTAGTATGCGACTCTGAGACTTTAAAGAAGTTTTCAGAGAGTTTTTTAATAAATTGTTGAATGATTGAGATTTCTAAGTCCCGATGAAGGTCGGCATTACGGACGTACCAAGGTGCGTTCGTAACTCGACGACAGAAGTGATTTTGGACTGTTTGAAGTTCATTTAGAGTTAGCGTGTGCAAAAATAGGGGCCGCGTAAGACATTACCGGTCGTATACAAACCTTATAAAGGGTTCGCTTATTTCTTAGAGACATTTTACTATGTCGACCTAACATACTGTTAAGCCTACCTAGATAGAACCGTGCTAGACGGGTTACTCTTTTGATATGAGGCTCGAAAGTAAGCCTTGTGTCAAGGGTGACACCTAAATATTTAGCAGACCTATGCCAGGGGACTGTGGTCTTTAACATACGTATTGGTGGAATATTTTTATTGATTTTGAAACGGTGTCGTTTCCAATCGAATTGAACTGCGGAGCTCTTATCCGGGTTCACATCGATGCGCCATTTTTGGAACCAAGCTCCTAGGTCATCGACTGACTTTTGGATCTTGTTCCTTACGAAAGGTAGTGTGTGACCTTTAAAGTATAGGGCAGTGTCATCTGCGAATAGGGAGAGCTGTACACCATTCGACGGGATTGGAATATCGTTGGTGTACAAGATGTTGAGGAGGGGAGCAAGTACTGATCCCTGAGGAACACCAGCTTTGATGGGTCTCTGAGAGGAGAGCGTGTCTTCGTATCTAAAAGGAAAGGTACGATGTTGTAAGTAAGAGGCCACGAGACGTACTAAACGATCGGAGAGACCTACTCTATATAGTTTAAATATAAGGCCTTCGTGCCAGACTCGGTCGAAGGCTTTAGCAATGTCGAAAAAGACCGCGATGGTTTTATGTCGACGTGGATAAAAACCGCTGAGGATGTATTCCACAATGCGGTGAACTTGTTGGGGGCGGGAGTGTTTCGCTCGGAAACCAAATTGGTGGGGGATGACAATAGGGTCACCGTCTGTGGGAAACAGATAGCGCCTCATTCGATTTTGAATAACTCTTTCAAGGAGCTTGCCCATGGCCTTGAGGAGGCTAATGGGACGATGACTGGAGGGGAGGTTAAGAGGCTTGCCTGGCTTGGGAATACCAATGACAGTTGCCTCTTTCCACGTAGTTGGAAAGTAACTAAGAATGAAGCAGGCGTTGAAAATAATAGCTAAGAGGGTTAACACCTGCTCTGGAAAATGTTTAAGGACTTGGTTGGAGATGCCATCCGCGCCCGGAGCTTTTTTGGGCTTAAGTCCTTTGATGAGGGCCGAGATCTCATCATTGGACACAGTTCCGACGGCGGACCTCATCCTCCACCTTCTGAATATGTGAGGGGTCGACAGGTTGAGAGCTAGGAGAGCATTGTTCGGCAATGCTGTCTGCGAAGCACTCAGCCTTTTCGTCGTCCTCGAAGGCAACCCTACCGTCGGGGCGAGAGAGAGGGGGAGTGTGAGTTGTAGCGTCTATACGAAGGGCTCTAGCCATCTTATAGTACCCTGTATGTGAGGGAGATATATTCTCCATGAGTTCACTCGTTTGGAGGTCTCGAAGTTCGGAGAGGCGGAAACGGAGTTGTCGTTGAAGACGATTCGCCGTGTGCCTATATTCGGGGGTGGGATATTTTGCTGCTCTCCGGAAAGCAGCTTTTTTAGCTTTTAATAGGTTGCTAATATGTAGGGGAAGCCCACTATTATTAACAACCGGAACGACCCTTTCATTCTCCTTAAGGGAGGATTTAATAAGTGTTGAGAGTGAATCGACCGCGGTGTCGATTTTTCCAGGACTGTCTAGGTCTATGTCCGACGATAGGTAGTTGGGGGAGTCCTGTGAGTCTATAGCTTTAGCTAGAGAATCCTTGAAACCCTTCCAATTAGTAAAAGTTTTAGTGGGTGTTATGGGGGGTGGCTGATGGCCAAGAATAAGGGAGACCGGTCGGTGATCGGATCCTATATCGTCTAGTGTCTCGATTGACCTTAGGTTAAGAGCAACTCCTTTGAGTAACGCAAAATCTAATATATCGGGGGCGTAATCGGTGGCATCGGGATAGTGCGTAACACCGAGTGGACTGTGGACTGTAATGTCAAGAGACTGCGTTATTTCAAGCAGTTTCTTGCCACTACGGTTAGTTGCACGGCGTGTCCATTCATTATGTTTAGAGTTAAAATCTCCAAACATAATGACTGAATTGCCTAGCGATAAGATAGCCTCAATATCTTTTTTGAGGGGGTCGATTCCAGGAGGAATGTAACAGGAGGCTATGACTAAAGACTGATGTCCCGTCATAGCTAACCTGCATATCGTAGCTTCCATATTGGTAAGCTGCGGCGTATTAATGTGAGAGCAATGTAATGTCCTCTTGTAATAAATGGCCGTTTGATTAAATGGCGGTCGGGCCTGTCATTACGAAGAAGAGAATAATTATTAATAGAAAGGCCTCTAGTGTCCATAGATTTGAGGTTAGTTTCCTGTAAGAGGAGAAAATCGGCTGCGCGATCTCGAAGGAAGAGCTTAAGCTCTGGGAATTTATTTCGCAATCCGCGAATGTTAAAAGAGATAAGCGATAACCCTTTAGGCTTTACACGTCCGTGACTTATAAGTAGAGCAGATAACTCTGTCATTGTAAAGTTAAGTTAATTAAGTTAACTTAACTTACAACGAACGCAAAAGATTATTATGCTCTACTAGAGCTAAGAGGCGGTCCTGAGGGGACCGAGCAGCGCGCAATTCGCTCGCTAATACTGCAATTTCGTTAATGTCGATGTTCCTTATCGCGGCGTAAACCGTGTTAAGGTCATCGACCATTGATGGCTGTTTCGCTTGAGGAGCGGAGGAGGTTGCCCGCGGTGGGTCAGCCTTTTTAGGGCCCCAGGGAAATATTGGAGCCTGCGAAGGCTTCGAGAAGCCCGGAGGTGGCCTAATAGGCGCCTGCAGTGGTCTAACGGGACCCTGAAGGGGTCGTGCGAAGCCCTGC